TGGGGGGGGGGGGATTGTACAAGAAAATGGTCTTATTTAACTTGTGCAAGAGGACGCAGTTCCCTTGTTACGACGTGCGAAAGGTGATGGATGCCTTCTTTGGTTGTTTTTAGTGGTTCTCGCGTATGAGACATGATGAACTATTAATATTGTTGTCAGTTGTTATGAAGTGCAAACTATGGTGCAATTTATACATTATGTATTTTTAGACTTGGTTGTACTTTAAATGACAGGACACCGGATAATTTTACATGTATTATAATAGAAATTGTTTTGCTGTTTCATCTGAAAACGAAAAGTGAAAATTGTTTTGGAAAAATCAGCAGGTTGAAAAGAAAACGAACACTTTTCTGATGTACTGGTAATTTTTTTAATATCTGCACTACAAACAGCAGATGTCATTGATGACAAAGGGACAAAAAAAATTGTTTAATCAGTTTCGGACATTGTTTTGTTGATGATAGCCGTCGTTTTGTTGTGATTACATTCCAAGTGTAAAATGTCATGTTGTTTGACTGGGTTTTTAATTTCTTCTCGTGTTGTTGTTGTTTTCGTCGGTGTTTTGTTTGTTTGTTTGTTTGTGTGTTTGTTTGTTTGTTTGTTCGTTTGTTTGTTTGTTTGTTTGTTTGTTTACAGTTTTATTCGTTGCTGTTGTTGTTATAGCTGCTTTGACCTTGCCTATCAAGGTCAATCCAGATTGAATGGGATACAGTACTTCATCATAAAGATAGAGACACTCGATAAACCTAGACTCCCAGAAGCGAGAGTCGAACTCACCTCTATCGTTTGCCATGGCGACTAACCTACGCTCAACATCACAGACGCCAGTGCCTCTGAATGTGACCTGAAAAGCAAGGACGTTCGACTTCCCAAGATCTGATTAAAATAATCCAGTTTTGCATCATAATGTTGATTATGTTGAAAGTTCTGTACTGTGTAAAGGTGGCAATTATACAAACTTTACTAAATGATGGAGTGATATCGCTACCTTGGAGTTACAAAGTTCTATCTGTTCAGTAGGGCTGGGCAAGTACCCGGGTACCCGGGTAAAGAGCTCAAAACCGGCTATCCGGGTATTGGTGCCGGATACCCGGGTTTTCTTCTCCCCTTCGTTAAATCCTATGCAAATGCACTTAAATTACCTCCCTTCGTTCGAACCGCAATAAGTACTGAGTACTTTTCGATACTGATCTCTCTTAGTCGGTACAGTGCTCGATATTGGCCAATATCGACTAGTGCCCACCATTCCCTGGAAACCAGCTGACCACATAAAGGCCATATATGGGTATGTTATAAAAAAAAAGTTTCCAAGAATCGGATACTTAGTTAAGGCTAGGCCTATAATTTCAGTTTCAATGTCCTTATGCAGAAGCAGCTAGTGTGCAGCTCTAACCCCCCCCCCCCTAAAAAAAACCTTAAAAAACATTATGAGAATTGAAATTTACCCGACGGGTACTCAGGTATTTTTTTCATTTGTATCAAATGAACGGGGAAATCCCAGCCCTACTCTTCAGTACCTAGTTTGAGAAATTTTATGTAAAAAAGTTTTCAGTTTCACATGTCAAACTTTTTAAAATGCAATTCTTTGAATATCTTGATATGACTTTAAAAAATCCTTCGATTTTGATAGGCAGGTTTGGTTTCTGACCTCATGATTTTTGTTAGTCAAAACGGCCAAAAATGTCAGGTAAAACTTAATAATTCTAGGGTTGCGATACGATAAAAGCAGTGGAGTCGGTAGTGTGGTGGTAATGCTACTGGACTCGTAATCTTGAGGTTGCGGGATCAGGGGGTTCGGTGTTGTGTCCTTGGGAAAGGCATTTTGCATTAACTCCCTATTTGTCTCTTTCCTATCGGAGATGGACTTTAAACTGGGAGGTCCTGCCTCTTCGACAACCTTACAGAGTTGATGGGGGCGTTAAACCATATCATTTCATCATTTCTTTTTTCTTCTAAGCGTAAACACTCGACGGGGGCTCTCGTGGTCCTGGGGTAGGATGTTCATCTCTCATGTAATAGGTCCCGGTTCGAAACCTGACAGAGACAGAACATTTTTTTCTCATCTGAAAATATCCTCCTTTCTCCCCCTTTCTTGCTCTCAAATCATGTTCTGTCTTCTCCTTTCTTCTCCACTCCCCCCCTCCCCCCCT